GCACGGGAGCCCTGGCTCTCGTGCGCAACCTCGTTCGCCTCAACAGGCTGCGCGCCCCGCCCTTCAGCACTTGGGCTCGGCGCTGGTGAACGCAGCTGTCGGTCGCCGTTCAGCGCGCTACCGCCCTGTCAGCGCCGATAGCGCCGGTCGGGCCTGGCCGGCAGCGTCGCGCGCAGCGGCGGACGATCCGGCATTCGAGCTCGTGCTGGACCTCGCTGACGCCGCGGGGCCCAACATGCTGCCGTTCCGTAGATTCTAGCTTGAATGCCGGTTCTTGCCGACTGAAGAGGCTACCTTGCGGAAAAAAAACTTCCTCCAACAGCGGCCTCCCCGCATGAGTTCCGGGTATGCGGCATGCTCGCGGCCCTCGCCCACCCGCAGTACGGCACCGTTAACGTGTGAGAAGAAAAAACGCCAGTGTGGCATCGCAGCATTGCGTCCTCCCCCACTGGTGGCTACTAGCTAGTTAAGCACCCGCCTGCGGTCATGCATTGGGATCGCAAGAACGCTGGGGAATTGGGCGGCATGTCTGGCAGCAGCCTCCTTTTGCAACGCGAAACAAGGAGCATCTCGGCCTGCCCCTTTAACGGCCCAAGGCATTGACCAAAGCCTTCTCGTTCTCGGCACGCCGCTGGGTGCCGCAGAGCACGATCGCTTCCTCACTCACATCCCCAAAGCCCCACGCCAACCTGCTGCACACGCTGGCCACATCCCGTGCCAGTGGATCAACTGCCGTCACGGCGGAAATGCCAGCCGCCCACCTCGCTGCTCAAGGCTGCCACGTTTCACCATGGGGCTTGTTTAGCTGTCGATACCACCTGCGTCAGCCTCGTCACTCGCTCGAGGTCGTCGCCACGCTCTCGCTCACCATCATCGTCCGGTGGAGGAGAACCTTGAGGGCAGTTGCCGCTACGGCCACCCTGAGGGGCGGGGGAAGTGCGGGAGAGGCTGCGCGTCATTCTGCTGACGCACGGCTGCAAGTGCAGCAGCGTTGGCATGTGTCCGCCTCCTTGGTTCGTAAATGGACATAGGCTCCGTGTGCCTTGATGGACTTCTGCTCGTCCCAAAGTTTTCTGTTTGGTTTCAAACTCAGCTATGTCTATGTGGCGCTGCTGTTTGAAGCTTTGTTCACTCTCTGTGCTGCTGCCGTCTATTGTATTTATCTGTGATCTGATGACAGCTTTTTTGTAGATGCTGATCGCAACACGGTGGTTTCAAAATTCATGCTGTAGCCCTTGTCGGGCTCGTGCACGCCTTTGTTGCATTCCTTGGTGTACTACGCAATCAAGCAGCACAGAACCGGCAATTCTTGACGGAGCTGCTTTGCTGGCGGGCACTGCCCCCCATCGCAAAAGGCGCGATGGCCACCACGGGCCAATCCCCAGTCGTGACGGCCATAGAACAAAATCGTGCGAAGGTTTGATTTCTTCACACGTTTTCATGCCAGCAGCAGAGGCCGGCTCGAGAAAAAGCTCAGTCTTCGGTTCAGTGCCGGCTCAGCAGGCTCAGCAGCGGCTAGGCGCAGCGGCTAGGCGGCTCGGCCCTTCCTGGTCGGCCCACGCTTTCTGGGGGTTCCGTGCGGGCGGCGGGCCCCGCGCTCGAGCAGCTGCACTGCGTCGGCGTTCCATCGTCCGCCCACTTTGTAGCTGATGTCGTCATGCCGGGCTATGAGACAAAAGGTTGCAATTGCCGAGAGGATCT